AAGTAAATGTAACATCAATACTATAATAGGTACTTAAATGACTATACCCATATATTTAAATGTTATTAATAACATATAGTAATTACTACAAATCTAAATATATATATTAAATCACTGAATACTTGTATCGTAATCCTTATACTTCAGTCACTGCATATAATTATTGCTTTGGTACATGGTCTAAAGAAGCAGTATATATCACTGTATTGCATCATTACATTATTTATAATATTCAATGTGCAAGGTAAAACTGTACAGTGCATAATTTATAATTAACTGCTTTAAGTAACATGTAGTATCATTGCTGTAATGATTAATTAATGGTGTAATTTAAATGTTTGTGTCACTTGAGTAGTGAGGTTTATAATATAAATGGTATTTTTATTAATTTGAGCAATAATATTGAAATTTTGAATAATTATATAGATTTTTGTTCTAATAAGCGCATAGAATTGTTGTATTGAATCATTGCATTTGAATAATCGTATAGAATCATAATATTGAATTATTCATGAGTAATCGTACGGAATCATTGTATTGAATTTATTATTTGTATAGTATTTCCAATGTGCAAGTAAAATTGTACTGTACATATCTTATTTTTGAATTGCTTGCTAGTAATATGTAACATCATTTCAGTAATAAGCACCTGTATGAAAAAAATATTATTTTGATGTCAACATGGCATATATGATTAATAATATGAATAGTATTATCATTAATTTAAGTAATAGTATTGAATCATTGTATATTTATAGTGAATCATTGTTCTAATATTCGCATATAATCATTGTTTTGAATCACTGCATTTTAGAAATTGTAAAGAATTAATGTTTTTATAGTGTATTTATAGTCTAAGTGCAATTATTCATTTAACTGTATTAATATCCAATTTTAATATAATAACTGTGTCTTTAGTAGTAAGCTGTAATATAAAAGTTAACAATGACATTCAGAATATTAGAGACATATGTGAGATCTAAGTATTTTTATACTTCTCCACTATAAATTTTTTAAGTTAGCAATGTATCAAATATAAGCATTTGTATGTTCTTGGGTTTTTGTATACTGAGTTTAAATGTTGAATTTTGCATTAGTAAATTCATGTTGACAATGTCATCACTTATCAGTCACAACAGTATAATATAATCATTATGTATGATATATCTTCTTTATGTATTGAATTGTAAACTTTATATGTAACTTGCTAAAATTACTTGCTAGGGTATTGAATTGTAATCTTATGTGTCACTTGCTAAAGTTTTGTTCATAAGTACTGTGTTCACACAGATGTAACCATTTTTAATATCTATGTTTTGTAACACTAATCAATGTGCCCTATGAGTGGATCTCGTGTGGCTCTAACATGAGTCAGCTTTAGATAAGGGTGGACGTGGCGCTAGACCAATTAACCATAATGGTAAAGGGGTGGTGCCCACGTCCTCCGTCACTAAACTAAACTAAAAATCTCTCAAGAAATAAATAAGGCCTAATAAAGGCATGTGTCTAAACTGATTCCTGCTCAAATGAAAAGGGATACTGCCACCTAAGTAAATGCTCTGTTTAAAAATGTTCAGCTGTCTTTTTTTCTCTCTCCAGGTCATAACATGACAGGAATCACATTGTAAAGAGTACGTAAATGAATTTGTGATGAATTGAATTCCATTGCCGTATTCTTCGCGTAACGTGCTCTGTCGCTCACCTCTTCGTTGTGTTTTCTGTAAAGGAATTAGTGGAAAGCATCAGCGAGTGTATTCTCTGCAAAGGAATTATGGGAAAACATCAGCGAGTCTTGTGACAAACAGTCAGTGCATGCGTTGTTTTCTCTGCGCAGTAGCAGAAAATATTTTTCCTTCTTGTGGCTAATAAACGATCTTCAGCAAAGCTGAGAGCCCGTCATGCTTTCTCACTTTCTATCCGAAAAGGGCAGAAATGGTCTTCAAAACGAAGTTATCAGCGGTATGCATCCTGGACTGGTCGGCTCTGGCTTCTACATAGTAGACCTATTTCAACACAAGCATTTGTGAGCCCTTTTCAACAAGCTAACGTTTAAATTTGGAATTTAAAAAAAAAAAAAAAAAAAAAAAATCGGCAGTCTAATCAGGCCTACAAAAGTACACTGGTAAAATTTTGTAGATAGAATTTCCGCTTTAATTTTGTGGATGTCCCCGAGGCGGGCTCACTGAATGAATGGAGCTTCGGAAAGAGCGCTGAAGCGAACATTGCTGGAAACAGTATAATAAAGTAAAAGATTTTTCCTATGATTAAAAATACTAAATTCTGATTACCGTAGCAGATTTGGCATTACCCAAGGTGCACCACGGTAAGGCCTACTACTGAGCCCCCTTAAAAAAAGGACTTCTTGGTTATATGATAAATCCATGCGTATAAATGAAAAAGGAAACCCTTTCCAAACCATTTGCAAGTCAATTAAAAATCAGACAACATAAACTAATATTATATAGACAATTAAGAAAATATAAACTATAAAATAAAATAAAATAAACATTTACAACTCAAAACTATCAAAATGTAGAGCTAACAAACCTTCTTTCAACGTAAACGAGAGAAAAAAGAGAAATACTCTAGCGAAAATCAAAGAGCTAACTAATAAAATTAACCCTGGCCTTAAGAAAAACACCCTAACAATTCCTTAGTTGATAACCAAACCTTCCCCCCCATACAAAAAGCAGCAAAAGGAAAACAGGAAGTGAAACATAGCTCTGAATTCATCTTTCTGTTTTGAATGGGCTCACCGAAGAAAATTCTGCAGTGAAACAGCGATACAGCTCTGGTGTTTCAGTGAGCCCACTCTGGGCACACCAGATGTTTGTCGTACGATTTTAGGCAAAATTTAAGGTTAAATTTTAATTATAGAATAAATATTTAATAATACGCATTACAGAATAAAAAGATGAGCACACAGCCAAGAAAATAACATAGAAATTTCTTTTCAAACAATTCCTTTTATACCCCTAAAAAAAAATTTTTTTTTGATTATTTCTTAGAAACAATGAGGCTCTTTAAAAACTTAACATGGCTGAAATGCATGTGCTGGTTTGTGCTAGTATTAATAAAGAAGGTTAAAAGTAGCCTTTAGTAATCTAAAAAGCTTCCTTTCAATTTTTCTGTGTGTACAGAGTGAATTTTTTGGCTGTTTGGTGTTCTGGAAAACAATTTCTCTGGAATATCATCTGCAATATTCTGCAGCCAAATTTCAACAAACACATATGCTTTTCTGGAATATGCCCGTAAGTATACGTAACAATAAAATATCGTCATACACTCCTGCGTTTAGATTTAATTACCAATGTCTGCTGAACAATTAGTGGTACTTTTCCATCTTACGATTTTTTTTATTACTTTTGTCATTTACCTCCTTTGTAAATTTTATTTGAGGTCTTTGTATACTTCCGCATAAAAATGTAAAATAAAAGGAAGGTAGCATATGTACTTGCGAACAACTTTTCTTTTTTTTTTTTTTTTTTTTTTTTTTTTTTTTTTTTTTTTTTAAGTACGAATAAAAGTAAAGAAATTAAACTTGCAGGCAAATACATTAAACAAATCTTAGCAGTGCTCTGTTACATAAATTTAGCAATCAGTGCTATATCTTAACTATATAAACAGGTGCATTGATGTTAAGAAAATTTGGCGCCAAGCTCCCATTAGAAATATTACGGCCCATAGTTTATCATTAACAAATGATTTTCGATCAAAAATAAATGCAGTTTTATCAGATCCGATAACAATGTTGGTTATATTCTGGTCGTTAACAAACATTAAAGTTTCTGTGTAATAGTCGGCATATTTCTGCTGGACGGGCGGCATTCAGTACATCTTTATTACATCATGCAGCTTAAAAGCCTCGACCCCTGATCTTAACAGAATGCTTTGACTGCATACTTCAGAAGAAGAACAAATATTTTTAAATATACAAGTGAATTTTATTAATGTCCATTTGATGTTCATGTAATAGGAAATATTTTAAAATTCCCCTCAACAATAAACATTAGCATTACTGAGTCTCCAGGATTATTTATCATTTAGAAGTATCCTTCTAATCAGCGCAAAAGTTATATTAGCTTACATATTAAACTATTTAAATGCGTCAAACAATTTTACTTGAAATGTAGTCTGGAAGAACATTTCCTGAGGACAGTGTTAAAATTCTCCCAGCAATAAACTTTAGCATTTTTATTTATAGTATTTCATTATCTTTCTTATCAACACAAAAGTATTGCCGCTTTAGTTTAGATATTTATACATTTTGCCACAATTCTCAGTTAATAGTGAAAATTGCATTTTGAATTTATTTCTAAGACTACTTAACTGATTTCTGGAAAAAAAAAACTTACACACAGAATTCTGACGACATAAATAATATAACTTTAAAGCATTTCAAGACGATGGCTGGAAGGCGTCATACGCAAATGACATATTGCAAGAATGTTCAAGTGAATTGCTCAAGAATTGCAATGAATGTAGTAAAACTTACACTTGTATTATCTTAATAAATAATAAATATTACAAAATGGCATTTTAAAAGTAATTACTCTTTTTACTATCTTATTATGGTATACTTAAATATCACATAATCATAAATATTTTTTGTAATTGTAAAAATTAGTTTTTGTACCTTGGAGGAAAAATGATGAACGATGCCTAAGTTTTCTCTCTTCTATTTCTGATCCGCATTTCGAAATAATTAGAAAATTCAAAGTTACAATTATTTTTAAATATTTAGCTGTTTCGGGAATTAGAAGTCCGTAATTTAAAGGGATGGGCAGCCAGTTAAAAGAAAGAAACATTATGAAGTCAAGAGGATTAAATAAATTAGTATAACTAAGTAAAGAATGGAATTTTAATATAGACATAATAACCTATATTGGAATTAAAAGTCCTACAAAATCAGCCTTATTTCAAGTAGAATATATATTAAACGTTTTTAGACTAAAATAATTTCATGCAGATTGAGTTAAGATTTAAAAAGAAAAACTTACAGCTTCATTTTGCTTCTTTTAAATGCAGAAAACGCTTGAAACTTATTTCAAAAGATATTGTTTCGTTCGGCTGAGTATCTGAATCTTGAAAATTAATAGAAGTTTCACATTTGCAGATCGGTCTTTTGAACTGCAGTTCCTGGTTTATTCAGAATCCTTTACTAAAGCAAATAATTTCATTATTAGCAAAAGAATGCAGAGCACATTCACGAATTCAAACTGCATTAAATACGAAAGCAAACACAACACAATTTTAATGTTAAAGATTAAAATTAATAAAAACGTTGAAAAATCGAATAAAAACGTTGCAGTTTTCACACGTTTTTTCGCAATTCTTTTAATTCTGATCCTTCAATACAATCCTTTGATATTGGCTGAAACTTTCACACACAGTTCTCTAATTTCTTTCTAAGATCTTACACAAAGCATATTGAAACATTCGACATCCAGTTCACTTAGTTGCTAAATGTTCTGTTTACTCAGTCCCCGAAACTAAAAGGAGTTCTTTCTTTACAATCAGTAGTATGCTTTTATATATTGAAAGTGTATTTCGATTTCAAATCTTTCTGCTGTCTTTGATAACAAATTGGAGAAAAGAAACTTCTTCGGTTGTTCGTTATTTTAACACTAGAAAATTTCCAGTTTTCGTTTAAAAAAGTATTTCTCGTAAATGATGAATTCAAAAACTGAATTTTCGTTTGAGTAACGAATAGATATTTTCGATTTCGTATAGATTAATATTGATCGCAGTATTACAAACTATGCGTCAACAGAAAGCCTTTCCGTAGAAACTGAGAGCTCGGTGTTCAGTCTAGTGACTGTGATAATCAGTTCGATAGATTAAGTCCGAATTCTTCAAAATTTCTTTGCAAACTCGCTGCTTGGAAAAATAAACAAACATAGTTAACCCACTGACATAGGAGTCGTCTTCTGGGTCTGGGTTGTAAACTGTAAGTAATGCTGGGAAAGGATCCACGTATTTAATATACGCGCTTGGAGAGACGTCTAAATGGTTCTGCTTCGCCCAACAGCCGACTGTTTATAGACCATCTGAAAGACGGGAGTTATCTCTATGTGAGGGATAGGTTTGGGCTTCAAAGATACGTTCCACCCTCTCTCTCCCGCTCTCGACCCTCAGGGAGACTATTTTAAGGTCCCTGACACTTCTTTACGTTTTACTCACTCCTTCCGCCAATCACTGTCACGTGTTATAATTTTGACATGAACGATTTTCTGTACAGTATTTCGAAGTTGATATTTACAGATATAGGTCGTTGTTTTTAAAGGATATATTCTTTTAAATGTAAATACAAGATAAAAATAAGAAACAGTTATTCTCGAATGCACTTAATTCTAGCTATTGCCATGTAATTTTCGAAGCGAAATATTTTATTTTATTTAGGAATTTAAATTTTAATTGATTTGGTAAAATAGTTTTTGTAACTGGTGTGCTTCTCCCCTTGAATATCTGCAAAAATTATATTGTTTGAGAAAATGCATCCTGTAATGACGACCTATTCCTGGAAAAAATAGTAATTTTATAGTAAGATAAAACAGATTCAGTATTTTTTTGAAAACAATGCAGGTATCGAAATTAGTATGACCACCTCTAGTATTTTCGTACTCGATTTTCTAGTACTATTTATAAATTTTTAATGTTCTAGAACACTTACTAACAAATCTAGTGCGTTCTTCTTTTTCCAGTGTCAATAATGTTCATGACTACAACATGACAGTCAAACTCATTTTTCTTTCCTGTCACATCACATTCAATAACATAAGCATGATTTCTTGCCCCCCCTCTTTACTTCTCTCGGCTCCATCAGTGACCAAGTGGTTAAGACCTTTGAATATTGATAGTTCGACCCTGTTTTTGGGGGATTTCCCCATGTATAACATGGATATGAGCCGGTTTCTCTTAGAAAGTCAGGTCCACAGCTGCCGAGCGGAAGTCGATGAACACTGGTAGTTCGGTCCGAGGTTCGAATCCCGCGAACGGGCTGGCTGCATGGGCATTTTCGTGGTTTTCCCCATGTGTAAACGTGTATACGAGCCAGTTTTTCTTAGAAAGTCCTCCACGAAAGCATCCATCCCCTTAGACAAATAGTCATCGAGGCTTTGCAGTAATTAAATAACCTAACTTTAGAAAGTCATCCAAGAAGATGCTTCCCTTAAGCAGATAGCTTTGTACGTTTTGCCGTGTTTCAGTAATTTACACTCTTTGTCACTCTTCACTAACGTTCTTATTTCCAACTCCATACTCACACAATTTATATATGAAAATTAATTTGGTACTACTCGTACATAAGCACTTTTGGCGCGTTGTAAGTTAATTACAATAATGGCAACAAATAATAATGTAAATGTTAATATCAGTAGTACTTTTATTAATGCATAGCATAATTTAAGCATTATTATGTAAATATTTTTTGTATAATTATTGCGAATAGTCAATTCCCCCCCTTCCGAATTTGAATTTATTATCCATTTTCTGAGTTTGTTAAAGTGAGGAATATTTCTTTTATTGTAATACTAAATGCGCCACGGATTTTTCGTTAAATATAAATTTTGTTTACTGTGCTTATTCATTTCGAAGACTGCAAAAGCAATGTTCCACGAATTCATGATTTTTTCGAATGAAGGTTTTTAATTAGGAATCGCTGTAGAAGAACTAATATTTTCTTACATAATGAAGAAATAATGAAGAAAATAAATAACTGAAAATTTCATCTTTAATTTTAAATGCTAAAAGGAGCCTAAAACTACATAGAAAATGATAGAATTGCATTTAATACACAAACTATGGTGCAATTACAAATGGGACTCTGGTTATGATCACTTACCACTGTAATTCATGTTCTCGTGGTTGATTATAATGAGGAGAGTTTTGAATTTTTCTTTTTATATTTGTGTTAAATATCGCTTTTAAAATGAGTTCAATCACAATTTACTGATATTGTAAAATGCCATAAACAGAGTAAAACAAAAGTAAATAAGGGTTTGGTATGTATTTTTTTCCCTGTCAGATTTGTTAATTTTTATATTGAATACGTTAGTTCCTAAGATTTTTAGTGGGTAGTCACATTGGTTGAAACACTCATGATGATTATGTATTTCCGAACATTTAATTTTCTCAAAATAAAAAAAATTCTGAATTAGTAATTAATTTACTTTTCTCGAAATTCGAGATTGCTTCTCAGAAATGTTCGAAATTCTTGAGATTCTAAACAGAAATGTTTTGTTAAAAAGATTTGTTAAAATAAGTAAAAAATTGAAGGCAAACAAAAATAAACATTGCTTTCTTAATACAAAATAAAAATAGGAAATATCGGACTTGTGTTTGCCTTCAAATATTTCAGAAACGGAGAATTTTTTTTATTTTTCGATTTTATGCAAAACTTCTTTTCGTTTTATGCATTCTTCAGTTTCAAATTTCTGTAGCGGTTGATTAGGAAAGCCTTTTCTCTGTATCCAGTGAAGAACACACTAATATGATATTGCGACATGTTATATTTTTAAAGAAAGGAAAGTGTCACACATGAATAGGAGATAGGTGACTGCGAATTGTTACTCACAAGCAGAAATATAACGCGCCCAACCGGTTAGTGGTTAGCGTCGCTGACTGCCGGGTTCGAATCCCGGAAAAGGCATGGATGTTTGTAAATGTATAGTGTCGGTGCAGCATGACGGCAGTCTAAATATGCGGCGAGCCGAATGTCCGCTCGTGTGGTTTAGCAGAAGGGGAGAGGGGTGGGAAACTCTCGGACCCGTCCCCCCGCGGTGTTCTCCATCAAAATCGGGGGCGCGATAGGAGCTAGTTTCCTTTAGAAAAACCCTCCTCGAAGGCATCCCTCCCTTTAAGCAAATAGCTTTGCGTGCTTTGCAGAACCAAAACGTAGCCACTGAACAATAGCAATAATTGTTTCTCTCCGAATTTAAAGGAAAGGCGATCTACTAATGACTGAGTGGCTGAACTTCATGGAGGATGTTTTAAAAAAACATTGTATTCATGTATCACTCGAACAAAACGACGAATCGACAAAACACCCCTCAGAAGTTAAGAATAACTTTAGAAAAAAGCATTACAATTCGTTCTGCTTCTGAAGGGGCATGTTCTAATATTTTTAATATTAATTGTCCAGTTTTTCCAGACATTTCTTAAGTAAGAAGATCCAGCTTTTATCCAAGCATTATTAATTTATTAAAATCCTCTTAATCTTTAAATCGAAAATTATAAACTGATATTTTGAAAGCAAAATACCTAATATTTGCTTGCGGAAGGAAAATGAAGCGAACCGTGGTGTATGCTACAGATCTGTGCTTATTTCAAATAAAAGCAGGAGTAATTTAGATTTTCATGCTGCTAATGACAAGAACAAAAATATATTCGAAGCTCGGCTGGAAGTTCGACTTTTTTTTTGGGGGGGGGTTGAATTTTTAACATTTGGCGTTAACGTAAATAAGAAGAAAGTATGAAATGCATTACACTGCATTATAATAAGTAAGTTACCTAAAAAAAAAAGTGAATATTTTTTGAAAAAATAAAATCTAATACGTGAAAATCTTTTTAAATTTCATACTTTTTCTAGCTTTCATTTTTGTTTAAAGTTATTTAAATGCTTAACATACAGTTTACCCTTTTTTTTTTTGCTTTTCCTCTAAAAAAATGAGCTCTATTTTTATTATATACTATTTTTAAAACGCATTAGCTAGCGTTCTATGCTGCGAAGTAGCTATAATCGTAGCAGCCATTACTAAGAGTGATATCAAAGCTAAAGAAATCAATTTCTGCATTTCTCATCGCTACAGCCTAGTCTTTCAATAACGTAAACAACAAATGACAATCTTGACAACGCAGAGTGCAAGGAATCCATCGGGACTGCTTCACGAAATACACACTCTGAGAGAAAAGCAAAATAGACAGATGTCTTGTTTTGCACCCACTAAGTCTTTCTGCTCCGATGGGCGAAAATATAGAAAGGGGGCAATTTCGGTTTCCAGAGGAGAGTAAAAGGAACTTCGTATTGTTTTATACGAGTTCAAAAGGCGAGGAAGAAAAATTGGAACAAAATAAATTTAAAAATAAATGGCCCATAGTAGTTTAGAGGAGAAAAGAAAGAAAAAAAAAAAAAAAAAAAAAGAAAAGAAAAGAAAAGGTCTCGAGAAGAAAAGGAAGAGAAGTATAAAATATCTTGATATGCTATAGCGTCCATGAGTGTGTGTGCACGGAGAAGGTGGATCTATATAATGGGTGACGAAAGAATTAGATAAATAAAATAAAATTTTTAATTTTGTATCCAGTAGCAAAACAGTAAAGTCAAGTTGAAAGAATATACCTTTAGATGCTGCTAAAAAAAAGGGAGATATTGTAAAAAGAAATATTCTAATTTGGAAGCAGAGTTATATGTAAGCATTTACTATGAGTTAAGGCAAGCTAGGATCAATGTAATTTTTTATATAACTAAATAGCCCTTAATTTTTTAGCATATCCAAAGATTCATACAAAAAAAAAAAAAAAAAAAAAAAAAAAAACGAGAACATAAATCCATTACACAGTGCTTGAGCATGTCAACTTGTAAAACTTTTTAAGTAGTTAAATTGCATTTTTTTTTGGTGGGGCGTATGCTGCGCCTTCATGGATAATAAACAGAGTGGATGTGTCAAAAATATATAAATAAATAAATAAATAAAACCCCTCTGATTAGGAATGTAACGTTAAATAAACAAAATTTACATAAATTTAGAACACCTAAATACCCTAGCATAATTTTGTAAATGACCATATAAAGAAGATTTAGTTTTGTAACATATAAGGTATAAAATATATGAAAATTATTTTACAACACGTTCACAGTTACGGTTAACAGCATTACGAAAATTTCTAATATAAACAGACCCAATGGAAGTGAGTGAATGAAGGAGTTAAACATGGGCATGTCAACACGGGTTCACATCCTGGCGAACGGGCTGGTTACAGTTTCCGTGGTATTTTCTTTTATACAGTCTATCCTGTACGAAAATAGCTCGCGTTAATTAAAGCAACTAATTAGCCAACTAACAATTCCAATAAAATTCTGTGATATCACGACGGCACG